ATCTCCTATTAGTCGATAAGTTGAGAGAGAAATTAGTGTTCCTTTCAAAGCAGCTTTCATAATGCTTGATTAAATCCACGTACCTTTTTGCGCGACGAAAGATAGAAAATAAAAGGTTTTATTGCAACTTTCACACATTCAAATAGTGGTCGTCATTAACTGTTTGCACCGTAAGGCCTAAGCTTGGAACGATAGGCCCATCACGCTCCCCGAGATCTCCGATCGAGTTATGATGAACTTAATTGGAGCAATGGCATGTTGCCATCATGATTTCTAATAAGGAGCGAAATTCAAAAATTGGTTAAATAACACATTACTTTTGAAACAAAATGATGTTAAATTGGAAAGAAAAAAAGATGCTGCCCTTCACTTTGTAAGCAACACAATTCTAAAGCTGGCTTTACGCCTTTTCGGATTACTTAAAGATGTGTGAAACAAATGGAAAATGGTTTGGGGACAGTGCGAACTGCGTAGACGAAACCGCTTTTTTGCATATATTTTCATTCTACTTTGTTCTTTTCTTCCGTTGCCTTTGAGCTTGTTTGTTTTTTTTGAGCAATTTGCTAGTGATATATTAATGATGATTTGATTAGTAATCTATTATTCTAATTACACAATGACGCACTGTGCGTAAGTTTATTACAGATAAATATGCTTAATAAACAATGAATGAGAGGGTATTCTGAATCCTTGTACTACCTATCTAATTAGCGACGTTCAATTTTATTTGGGATTGTATGAGAGTTTTTGCTGGCACATTGTTTTTTTCAAAACAATCTCTCCGTTTGTTTCTCCTGATAATATTCCCTTATCATACAGCTAGTATACCTTTGCGAAGATCTTCTTGCAAAGCTGATCTGCAACTGATATTGGCTACCAGTCGCTCGAGATGTGTTGCAGTCGGATAAACAAGTTCATGTAATTTATAAGTTTAAGCATAATTTCCGAGTTTGAAGGGCTAAAATTATTGGAATAAAAGCTTCCGAAAGCTCATGCTCAGGACATTCAACACTCCCTAAGTTTACGGTAATACTTAAAAGAAGTAAGCTTCTCAACATTGAGTTTTGATATGCGTAAGATTTTCTTTGTGAATTTGAACTTAGTAGTGGTAGAAGAAATATCGCCAGAAATTTTAACGATGAGATTAAAGCAGTTATGGTCTTTATACGAAGTGCTCCTCTTAACGAACAAATTTTGAAAAGGAAAAAACATTAAAGGATGGCTGGATGGGCACCATTTTCTCTTTTTCTTTCAAATTTTTTTACACAACGCAAAACAGCGATATCATAATGACACATTATAACCTTTTGCTACCTTATTAGCAGCTACATACTTGCGTACCCGGCTGCGCTCGGCT